GGCTGGCATTCCACCCCCGGTGTCCACTGCCTCGTGCCCTGTGATGGGCTGGCATCCAATCCAGGGGTGCCCACTGCCTCGTGCCCCGTGATGGGCTGGCATTCCACCTGGGGTGTCCACTGCCTCGTGCCCTGTGATGGGCTGGCATTCCACCCGCGGTGTCCACTGCCTCGTGCCCTGTGATGGGCTGGCATCCAATCCAGGGGTGCCCACTGCCTCGTGCCCCATGATGGGCTGGCATTCCACCTGGGGTGTCCACTGCCTCGTGCCCCGTGATGGGCTGGCATTCCATCTGGGGTGTCCACTGCCACGTGCCCCGTGATGGGCTGGCATTCCACCTGGGGTGTCCACTGCCACGTGCCCCGTGATGGGCTGGCATCCAATTCAGGGGTGTCCACTGCCTCGTGCCCCGTGATGGGCTGGCATTCCATCTGGGGTGTCCACTGCCTCGTGCCCCGTGATGGGCTGGCATCCAATTCAGGGGTGTCCACTGCGTTGTGCCCCGTGATGGGCTGGCATTCCACCTGGGGTGTCTACTGCCTCGTGCCCTGTGATGGGCTGGCATCCAATCCAGGGGTGTCCACTGCCTCGTGCCCCGTGATGGGCTGGCATTCCACCTGGGGTGTCCACTGCCTTGTGCCCTGTGGGATGGGCTGGCATTCCACACGCAGTGTCCACTGCCTTATGCCCCATGATGGGCTGAGATTGGCTTCATCCTCAACATGACCCTGTTAAGGGTGATGAATAGAAGGAATTATGTATATTTGTGGTTTTGTGTATATTTGTAATAGCTTGTAATACTTAGGTATTAAGTTCCCTTAAATTATGCCTCTTTAATCTTGTCGGCCCTGTGCTTACGATGGATTTTGGTTTTTTTCTCCCAGCACAGAGGTTCACTCCTGTATGGGGGGCATACAAAAAACAGGCTCGAGCTGCTTAGGAATACTTTATTTACTTGGGTAAAGCATTCACCACCAAAACAAAGCTTCCAGGCTTCTATCTTTGGAGCTGGAATCTGCTCAAGCAGAATGCAACCCCTCGAACCATCACCAGGCCTCATTGCTGCACTTCTCAGTCACCTTGTTATTTTGGTCACAGTAATTTTGGCCATGGAGAGTCAAACAGACCCCCAACCCCAAGAGGTTGTTTTGGATTGTGTGTGGTGGGGTGGGGGGGGGGGCAGGAAAGGGTGTCATTCCTTTCTTGGGAGTTCATGAACCTGGGGGACCTTCAGAAATATTTGCTGATGTGGGAACCACTTTGAGCTTTCGTACATGAGAAAAGAGAGCATTTCATGCAGCAAGAAGAAGGTCTACAAGTTATTGTGATCTTTGGATAATTGCCAGAACATGGAGGTCTTCTGGTTTGTTTTGATGACAGTGCCCTGTGAGGCCGGGAGATTGTACAGCTAGAGCTAAATCTTTGGAAAGTCTAGGGTTGTCATATGGTGTCATAGACTGAGGGGCATCTGGAGAGATGAACTAATTGGGCTTCCTAACTGATGGCAGGTAGGACCTGTGTGGAGAAACTTCAGAGGAAATGAAAGAAACCTTCTGGAAGTAGAGTACTCATGTGACTGTGTGAGTGTTTGTCCAAAGCAACTTACAGTAGAGGGAAGGGTTATGATTTGATTAGAACCCATGACCATTGCATTGTTGGTGCAATGCTCTATTTGTTCAGCTACAGGTTGTATGTATGAGAGGGTTTTCAGTCCTGTCTTGTGCTCAATCTCACATATTTCCTGTTCTCAGCTCTTGTTCCTCTGCCTCCTCTGCTGATTTCACAACTTGGAAGAGCTTAGTTGGTGTGACATCTCTTAGGGTGCTTTTCCACTACAAAGGTTACCGTTTTTTTGGTACTTCAGAAAAACACCAAAAGTATGGTGCCTTTTCTGCTGGTGTAATAACTTAGCTAAAACATTTACTCTGTCATAGGGAACAAAACTTCACAAGCTTTGCAATTTTAATAATTGTTCCTTTTCAAGACTATATAGTACAGACGCTCCTCTACTTATGAACTTTCAACTTACGAACTTTCAGACATACAAACGAAGAGGTCTGTAAATCCAAGTATGACTTCTGGCCGCTATTTCCGCCACGCAGCAGTATGGTGTGCGTACTCCCAACGTCCTAGTTCTTCGTACTTGCATATACCTTTAAAATGATGTTGAATAACGACTTACAAACATTTTAAGTTACGATCGGCCGTTTGGAGCGCAACTCGTTCGTAAGTAGAGGAGCGTCTATATATGTCTAAAAAATTTGTCTACCACCACTGCTTTTGCATGAGTGCTGCACGCATTTGCCAAGATAATCAATCTTTTTCATCCTTGCCATTTAAATGACAGGTTTGTGAACAATTCATTAATATTGAACTCCTTTTTGCTTTATAAATATCTTAATATTTATTGTAACAAAATCACATTGTGATATTTAAAAAAAATTGCAGTATCGTAGCCCTAGTATGTTATAGAAAATACTTTATTTGGGATATAATTTTTTTGTCAAGCTTCAATTCCATATTTAGTGTGTAACAGATTTAAAACATGACAGTATTACCACGATACCATCAAAATATTAACTGGTGTGTATTAAGGATAGTAAGGGTCTTATAATTGAAAACGACATTGACATAGTAAATGAGTTCAATGATAGTTTTGCACGGGTATTCACTGTCGAGGACACTAGTAACTTACCAGTTCTTATTACTAATTCAACATCGTCTATAACTAATATATATATAACTGAAGCTGATGTTTTGCAAAGCCTAGCTAAGCTCAAAATAAATAAATCACAGGGCCCTGATGGCATCTTACCTATAGTGTTAAAAGAGATGAGGGATATTATTTGCCGACCCTTAACATTACTGTTTCAAAAATCCTTATCTGAAGGTG